AGCTTCTTTATCTTTTGTTTTCTCAATTCTGTTGTCAAATGCCCTGAAGGTAGGGCCCCCCCTCAGCCACGTTTATGGAGCAAGAAGCTGTGATGCTGTAAAAATCAGCGTAATGTGCAAACGGGAGCCCAGTCCATCCTAACGTTCCCTCCATCCCAGAAGCCGCTGGAGAACAGCTCCCGCTCCAACCGAGGCATCCGTTCAGGCCGGAGCCACCTGCCCCCGGCGCGCAGCCTTCTGAACACCTAGCTGCGCTCAGACGTCTGGAAGGATCTGGACGGAAGCTGTTTGCACATGTCCAGGCCAACTGAGTAACTGAGCTGCTAATCTGGGTTTGTTCTGTTCCTCAGAAATTGCCTTGGGGGTGGACCCAGGCAGACACCTCTCCCTCCGTCTGACACCTGCTTACCACCCGCCCGCGCTGTGGATGATCTGGAGACCCGAGGTGCCAGGATGCAGCCCTGTCCTGGAGCGCACGTCCCGGGGAGGGGGACACGCGGAGGGAGGGGCGTGGGAGTAGGACAGAATCGAGGCTCTGAACAGGCTGCTGTGCCAGTCCAGCCACGAAGCTGGTCTTTCCCCCTCACAGTCTCAGCAGGTCACACGTCTCAGGCTTGTCTCCTCTCAGTCCTTCTCCCACTCCCCGCACCCCAGGCCCCGGATGCCTTTTGTCTACGGCAGGTTCCTTCAGGTGCCCACACAGCTGAGCGAAAGGGAATCAGATCAGGACAAGGAAACGTGCAAACCACAAGGTTGGGTAGTTGGCTCTTTTCACGGTTTGCGTGTACGAGGCTGTGAGGTTTATCACATGTGCTTCCTGCTGTATTTTTTCCTGATTTCCCAGGACAGGAGTCACTATATCAAAGGACCCTGGTGTCCTACCCAGGGCTCCATGGCCTCATGGGTCTCTCTCTGTTGCAGGAACATCCTTGAGAACCGTTGTTTTAAAAGAAGGAGGTGGGTTTGGGGCCAAGTTCCAGCCTTGTCGTTTAGTGGCTGTGTGATCCTGGACAGGCTTCCGTACCTCTCTGGGCCTCATTTATAAAATAGGAATGAGCCCTGACCGGTTTGGCTCAGTGGATAGAGTGGCGGCCTTCGGACTGAAGGGTCCCGGGTTCGACTCCGGTCAAGGGCATGTACCTTGGTTGCGGGCACATCCCCAGTGGGGAGTGTGCAGGAGGCAGCTGGTCGATGTTTCTTTCTCATCGATGTTTCTAACTCTCTATCCCTCTCCCTTCCTCTCTGTAAAAAATCAATAAAATATATTTTAAAAGAAATAGGAATGACATCATCTACCTCAGAGGGTCCCTGGGAAGGTTAAAGGAGGTAACTATAAAATTACCCGGGAAACACACCGATTATTACAAGCGTAGCTGTATGACCACTTCTTCCCGCGGCTGTGCCCTGTATCTGAGCTCCTGTGTGCTAGCCAGGCCCTGTGCTAGAGTCAGGCCGGGCACTAGGAGGCGCGATTGCAAGTGTGGGGGGTTATTTCATGGTGGGCAGGGATCATGTCTGATTCCGCCACACCTGCTGCCCACGGGAGCCTGGCAGGACCAGCCGGACTCTTTGGTGGGCAAACACTCACAGCCGTCCCGGCCCAGTCTGTCCTTTGTGACTTCTGGCCGTTGCCCCCAAATAGAATAAAACACACAAGGAAAGCAACTCGCCACCTGAAGCCATCCGATCTGTCACCGCCGCCCACTCGAAGGCCATCTCGAAGAGGGGCGTCGGCGAGCGGCAGGGACAGCTGTGCGTGGGTGGGAGGGGGCACTTCACACTTGCCCGCTGTTGAACGCCATCTGTGTGCTCCCTTAGTGGAATTTTCCGGAATAGCACAAAGCAGAAACCTGAGCGAGGTGGCCTGGGTGGCCGGAGAGGGGAGCGCGGGGCAGCCTGGAGGAACCCTCCTGGGTCCAGGCTCAGGAAGAGCAGGCCCTTTCGGAGACCCTGGAGGGGCAACTCCGAATACGCCAGGTACTCGATACTTAGAACTACACTGGGGAGGCCCCCTCGCCTCTCCCCTCCACACCCCAGCCCCCCCCACCCCCGCCACCGGCTGGACCCACCCCTCATTCCAGCCCACCCACAGCTGCCTCTGCAGCCGCCACATGACGACATTCTGGCCGACGCCCCCTCTTCGGCAGCCTCTCCGAGGAGCTATTTGCAGAGGCCCCCACTTGGAGTCCCAGCTTTGCACACAAGTGTTTGGTGTTTAAAAGGAGAGAAAGAGAAGTCACAGCAGGTGCCGCCCGCCCCGCCCCGCCCCACGGGGGCTGCCGGGGGTCTTTGTGCTGGGTGCCTGCCCGTGCACGTCATCCCCACATCTGCTGTCCCTGTCCCGTGACCAGAGCGACTGAAGCTGCACAATGACGCCATCTGCCAGGGACAGCCAGCTGGCTCTCAAGGCTGACCCTGGTTGCCATGGCAACCGAGATGGTGTCCTGGGGCCTTCAGACAAAACGACCAGCCTAATGATGTCAGGAGGTTCCCTGCAGCACGGCTCACAGGGGGGTGGGGGTGGGGGGCTCTGGGTAATGAAGGACAGGCTCCTCCCCTGCACCCTCTGGGCTCCCCTCCCCCCCCATGGAAGGAGGCCACTTGGTCTCCACAGGACGCGCTATGCGGGGCACCTATGCATGCACTCTGCTTAAAGCCTCTCTCCTTCCCTCAGCCTGGAACGCATCCCTCACCCTTCCATCCCATCTCCGGGTTTCCTTCTCAGAACCTTCCCAACCACGGGGCCTGTGCCCACCTCTGTCCCCACCATGCCTGGGGCCCACCAGCCGGGGAGCAGCCCGAGGGCCGAGGTGATGTCTCATTCATCTGTCTGGTTGCCCGGCATGTGGGAAACTCTAGCAAATGTTCAGCAAACAAATGAAGCGGCTTCATTTCTCAGCCACTCGCTGGCCTCACAGGAGCAAACAGGAGGGGGATGAAGCCCTACAGCCAGGTGTGGGCACGGGGTTTCCCTGCCACTGTCAAGGCCACAGTCACACCTACAGAGGCACCGACTGGCACCCTGGTTTCTATCTTTTTCCGAATCAGCGCCAAGATCCCTGGAGGGGCCGCTCCACGAGGCCACGGGTGAAATCACTTGTTCACACGTCCCGACTTGGGTCAAAACGTTTGCGCATCTCCCTCTACAGTGGCTGGCCCGGGGCCGTGCACCGGTCTCCCTCACTCACTGCACAGCCTCCCCATCTCCGCGGGGGCACGTCCTTCCCATCTGCCCGTCTGACAGGACCGAACCGGACGTGCTGCTTCGAGTCTCAGTCCTCCACTTTCTAGTGAACCTGGGCCTGGCTCCACGGCCGGTGTGGTCTCTTCTGTGAATGCCTGTCCTCGCCCATTTTTCTTTGGATCATTTAATTTTCTCTTACTGATTTGTAGGGATTCTTTATATGTCCATTCTTAAGCATAGTCCTCCCTTGTATGTGCGGCAAATGCCTTTTCCCTGTCTGGGTCTGCTGTTTTAACGATGGCAGGTGCTCTTTGTGGACTAGAAGTTCAAGTTGTTTATGGAGTCGGGAAACAGAAAGGGCTGTTCTGAGGCTCATAGAAACCCAGACGTCTGGCAGCCTCGTATCCACGTGGCTTTCTAGACCTGCAAAGCGCATGAGTCCCACGCGGCCCTGGGAGAGATGGGGGTGTTATTCCCATTTTGTAGGTTAGGAGATTGAGGGCCTTTTTGCCTCCTGGCACCCGTTCCTCCCTCCCGGGGACTGGCCCCAGATGTTCCCCTTGCAGTCTTTGTCCCTGGGGTCTGGGTGGGGCTGGCCAGCTGCAGGCTCCTTTCATTCTCCAGGCCACAAGGGTGACATGGGCCCTGAGCCAGGCCAATGACAGCGCTACCCTACCCAGGACTCGGGGCGGAGTCACTGAGAACGAGGCATTTCCTATTGGTAAATTCTGTTTGAAAACGAAGCCGGTGCAGAGGAACAGGGGTTGAAGGAAGGCCTATTGTAGATCTTGTTTATGCCTGAATCCAGCCACGCCTGAGGCCTACCGACCCCCTCAAACTAGCTCACTGTGGGGTCCTGTCTCTTCTGTAGCTGAGTCAGAGCCAGAAATGCAAGCGCCAGGACCGGACCCCTAACCCTGACTCCTTAATCAAAGTATGCAGAGGAGCAGAAGCAGCATAAGGGCCTCCAGGCCTCAGTTTCCCAATCTGTGAGGTAGGGATGATCCCCCATCTGTTCACGTCAGCTGGCTCTGGCACCAAACACCTCCAGGCCTCTTGGCGGAAGCAGGGCACCGTGACCCGCTGCTTCCCCCGAGGACGTGGGGAACGAGAGCCCAGGAAACCGCATACTCGGCCGTGAGGCTCAGAGAAGAATGACATCAGCTTGAAGCTGTCTCCGTTGGCAGAGACAATGGCAAAGAAGAAGAAAAAAAAGGGACAGGCAGGAAGGAAAGAAAAACCCTGATGATATCAGCAGCTCTGGTTGGAAAACAGACGTAGGAAAGAAAACGAGTTAAGCCTTCACTGCAAAATGTACACAGAAAAGGATAAACCCTGCTCACAATAACACCCATAAAAGTGAAAAACTGGAGGCAGCCACGAACATCAAATCGAGCCACACAAAGATCTGCTTAAGCCAGTGGTTCTCAACCTTGGCTGCACATGAGAACCACCTGGGAATCTTTTTAAAATCCTGATTTCTGGGCCTTATCCTCCGGAAATTCTGTTTCTTTGTTACTAATGATGAGGCCCAGAAATCAGGATTTTAAAAGGATTCCCAGATGATTCTCATGTGCAGCCAAGGTTGAGAACCACTGGCTTAAGCAATGAGCTGCGTGGCACTCCCCACTGGAAAACATTTTCTTGATGAACCACCGACGATACTGATGTGGTTCTGATGACAGTTCTGCACATCGTAGGGATCAAAGCCTCCTGTTGTACAGCCTGAGCCCCCAGACCTGAGGGCTGTGCCCTGTCTATTTAAGAACCAGTGGAGGCTCCAGGAGGAGGACCCCCCGGCCCCCCGCCCACTCACCGTGGTGATGAACCTGTACAGGGGCTGCCGTCTCTCTGTGTACTTGACCGTGATGGGGCTGAGGTCGTAGCGGAACCAGATGGCAGGGATGATGCGGCCCGTGTGGCTGTAGGCGACGTACTCCTGGGTGGAAGAAGAGACGGGGGCGGAGGGCATGAGATGCAGGCACACAAACCGCATCTCACGGTGGGTGGGGGGTGGATTACAGAATGGGCCTTCCTCCCTCTCTCTCCCAGGGAACCAGAGCCCCCGGCCCCTCCTCTCACACCCCTTCCCCAGAGCCTGTGCCGTCAGCGTTGGTCTGGACGGGCATCGTTGCTGGGGGCATTTTGACCTTGGCTGCCGGGAAACTGTCCATATTTTGATCCCAGAAGCAGCGCCAGAATAAAAATAAGAATCTGAGAGCAGAAAGGGAAAAGGACAAGTGTGATTTGGGCTCCTTCTGAATGACGGCCTCTCTCCCGCTTCCTGGGCCGTGCAAAACCCATTCATTCGTTCAGCAAGTTTCCTAAGCGCTTCTGTGTGCTGGCGCCATGCTGGCGGCTGGGGACCCCAGGGAGTGAGTCCCGCCCCATCCCCAGGGGGGTCACCACCTGGGGAAGGCAGATGTAACAATATGTGCAATCCTGCGACATGGCGCACGCTGTGACCGAGGGACACGGAGTCCTGCAGGGGTCACGGGACAAGTGACCAAGTCTCCCCAGGGCGTCCGGAAGGCTCAGTGAGGAGGGGACATCCTATGCCACACATGACATCCTGAGGAGTGTGTGTGTGGGTGACACAGAGAGGTGCATCTGAGACCACGTGGGAGGAAGGAACACACGGAACTGGAAAGCCAGAGGGCTCAGCCCCACACCGGCCTCCCAGGAAGGCACTGCTGGGGCCGAAAGGATGCTAAGGGCCTGAGTGGGCCGTGTGCCCTCTCTGGTCTGGGTGCCTTGGGATGCTGCAGCCCTCTGGGCTCCCCTCATTCACCTCCAACATCTGGAGACCAAGCTGAACCCCCGGAGCACCCCCAACCCCAAACGCTGGGCCGGATCCGAGACTTCTCCTGAGGATGAGCCCGAGACCTGCCCTCTCTGTTCACCGTTCCCGATGGGCACAGCCCCACTCGCTCTCGGGGCAAGCTGTGGCCAAGGCCACAGAGGGAGCTGAGCAAGCTGTTCTGGGCGCTGGGCCCTGGCCAACGCCTCAGGGGAAGGAGCCTTGGGCAAAACAAGATCAGCTTTCTCCAGGGGAGCGGATGGGGCAGGGCGACTGTCTGGGTCATAGCCTGGGGCTGAGGGTCAGAGAGAAATAGTGAAAAAAGAGCAGCATTTATCCAAAGCCTTATCCAATGCCTGGCTTTAAAGGCACCGCCTCATTTGACAGTGGTCTTGTGAGGTGGGCATCATTTTACAAATGAGTAAACTGAGGCACCAAGGGATTATGAGACTTAGGGACTGAGCCAGGTTGGGACCCGCTGTCTCCTCCACGGCTCCCCGACTTCTGCTCAGACTGCCTCCGCGTTCTCCCAGCTGTCAGAGGCTGTCAGCACCTGAGGGTGACAATGACACGCCCTCCGAGAAGCAGAGAATAGAAGAAACAGGCTTCCTTCTGGGGAGTTTCACCGGAACATCACCCCGGGGGGGTCGGAGCCGAGGGACCTCAGGCCACCCCGAGAGGGAGGACGGCCCGGCCCGCAGCCTCCCGCCCCTTGTTCAGAGGGAATGGCGATGGGACCAGGAGGCCAGGCTCTGGCGCCCGAGGAGAAGCCGGTTCTAAACCCCACTCGGCTGCCTTGTAGCTTGACTACCTTTCTGTGTCTCAGTGGCCAAATCTGTAAAATGGGGACAATAATGGTCCCGAAGTCAGAGCTGTCATGACGACTGAAAAAGATGGTGGAGGTGGAGAGCTTAGCAGAGTGTCCAACCCATTACAGGTGCTCAGTAAATGAGAGCTACTGCTCTATTATTATTATTACTAATTGAGCGAAACACTGTATCACGTACAAGGGGTTTGGGCAGCCCTGGACCAGATGAAAAAGGAGAGTCCTGGTGGCAAAGGGGTCTTGTGGGGGGACCTCAACCAACGAGCTTCAGGCATCCATGTCCCACTGGCAGGCAGGGTCCTCCCCCGGGCAGCCTGAGGCCCTCGGCCTGAAACCCCTGTTGGTCACCCCATCCCGCTGGCTCTGACCATGCCCTGCCCTCCCCCGCCCCCCCCCCGAGGCCTGCCTGCTTCTCCGTGACTTGGGGTGTTGGGGTCCTGGGACATTCCTGTTAACCAATGGCCATCGGTGTGATTCAAGAGCCAAAGCGTCTGTCGTGTGCTGACCAGTCCGGGGCCAGAGGCAGGGCTGTGGAGCCGGCCGTAACTCCTGGACCTTTGGAGGAGGCCACCTGCCTGCTCTTTCTCAAATTGTGCCCCGACACGTGCAGCCTCTGCGCTCGGCCAGCAGAGGGCGCTGTTGCACGCAGCCGGGCCCCGAGGCCGCTGCCCGTACCTTGTTGGCCACTGTGTACTGGTAGGAGTACCGCTGCTTGCCACTCTTGTCTTCGTAAACGGTGGGCACGATCTTCAAGATGTAGTCGTGGGAGGCGAGGGCTGCGGGAAGGACACAGAACAATGAAGCAGGGGGTGGCAGCTCTAGGTCATCTCAACCTTCAAGCGGCGTGGCGGGCATTGCTGGCGACTGGGGGGTCGGGTGGGGGCTCAGCAAACGGGTGACCCCGCTTCATCTTCTCCCTTCGATGCCAGGCATTGAAAGACTCCACCTCAGGATCGTTACTCCTGAATTTAATATTAAAATCCGGGGAACAACGCAATGCCCGTTCACAGGGCAGCCTACGGGGTGGGTGCTGGGCCAGGCCATCTGCCAAGAGGAACTGTTACGTAAAGAACCGCGTTACATAACCGGGTGAATAACACGTTTCCACGCATGGCGGGCAGGGAAGGCTCATGCTCTCCACATGCAAAAATACATTGAAGCATTTTCTGGAAAGATACCCGAAGAACGATGACCAGCCTTAGCCTTTGGGGAAGGAGGCAGGATGTGATAAAGATCACATTTCACTGTGCACCCTCTGGTCCTGTCTGAACATTATTACGTTGGAAACAAACCGGGTTGAGGTTTTAAAAAGAAAGAGCCCACCCCACCAACTAGAAAAACGCCATCTAGGAAGAATTAACTTCTTTCCCCATTTTCAGTGACTGGGAGGTCCGTGCTCCCCCCGCCGGGCCCTGTCATGGATTTCACGGTAACGGTCACCTCCACCCCCTGGATGGGGAGGCCTCGGGGGGCAGAGGCCAGCCTGACTCAGCTCCGCATCCCCAGCACCCGGTGCCGGGCCTGGTACGGAGCGGACAGCG